GGCCAGCGGCGCCGGCGGGAGGGCGGCCGCGCGGAGGTGGAGCGGGCGGGAGCGAGAGGGACTCTTTAAACCCGTGCGTCGGGGGCAGTGGGAAGCTGCGGAAGGGTCTGGTGTGTCCCCGCGCCCGCCCGCGCAAGCGGCCCCTCCCGGCTCTTGCGGTTTCGCCGGTCGGGGCGGGAGGTGTGGGGACTGGGGCTGCGGGCGAGCCCTTGTATCCCGGGGCTGCTCGGGTGGATTTCCGCATGCTGTCACGTGTGCGTCTCGGCCCCCAGCCCCTGCCAGCTTCTCCCTTGGCGCCCTGCCCTCGCATCCTCCGCCCTCCCCCGCCGTCTGACCTTGGACGCGGCGGAGTTGGCTGGGCCGAAGCGGCCGCGAGGGAGACGCGGCGTCACCGGCGGGGGTCCCGAAGAATCGTCCAGAGCGTGATGGGGAGCAGGGTGCTTTCGAGCTGCTGGTTCGTTCGTCTCTTTAAGCCTCGGTTTGCTTATCTGAAAAACGAGAGTCAGAGGAGAGACAGACGATGTAAAAGGATGAAATGGGAACAGACGTCGATGGCCTAGCACGGAGCCTGGCACTTGTTACGTATTCAGTAAGCGGGAGGGCTGGTTACTTGCACGCTTTGCTCCAGTGGCCCAGCGTCTTGGAAGTTCACCGCGCTTGCTCCGTCGGGGGTTTCTGATACAGCAGTGAAAGGGGCTCCGGTCGTTCCAGATGGAACCTGGGTTTCAGGTAGGCCGTCAGAAAACAAGGGGAAACACCCTGAAAGAGGACTGGCAGATCTGGTAGAAGCTAGAAGCACACCTTGGCTTGGAGTGACTCTCAGAGCATCTGGTACCTCGCATAGGGTGGGATCTAGATGAGAAGTTACTGCTGGTGTGCTAGCTGCCCTGTTCACAGATGTGGTTCTTGTGGCTGTAGAGCTGGAAGGGGTGAGTTTGGAGAGCTCGTCATACAACTGGCTAGTGACAGAACTGGAATCCAGTCTGCAGACCCCTCATCCTGGGCTCCTTCGGCTGCGCCCCAACACTCCTGCAGCTGTTTGACCACATCTCCAGTTTAGAAACCAGATGCCTTTCCGTGGGAAGCCGGGAAACTGGAGCAAGCCCAGAGGCTGTTGACCACAGCAGTCCACAGATCAGCATTTAATTGCTTCTGGATCAGAGCTGGCTATCTACTTTTCAGTACCTTGTGTAAAACGAAAATGTGGGGCTTCCTGTTTAATCATTAAGAATCTCGATCGGATGCAGTGGTTTACACCTGTAATCCCAACACCTTGGGAGGCTGAGGCGGGAAGATGGCTTGAGCCCGGGAGTTGGAGAACAGCCTGGACAAAATAGCAAGACCGTATCTCTAGGGAAAAAGGAAATGTTTTAAGCCGGGCTCGGTGGCTCAGCTTGTAATCCCGCGCCTTTGGGAGGCTGAGGTGAGTGGATTGCCTGAGCCCACGGGTTCGAGACC